GTACGTGGCGTATCCCACGCACGAGTTGAACTACACCGCGTCCTTCGTCAGTTATACTTTGTAAAAATAGTTGGCAAACTGATAATAATGGATCCAACCTTTTTAAGACCTAATCGGAGCATTGCGTTTGCTTATATGATTTTCTTTATCGTTGATAACTCCCGCTTTTACAATTGCCTCTCCCCCTTATGGTAAGCAGCCCTTCCGATGCAAGCCCAAAGTAGTTCAACGAATCGATTCTAAGTCTAACCGTCACTCCCATGACTTTTCAGAATTATTGTGGATAGTGAATAAAGGAACAATAGAGCGCCTCAGGCAAAACAATTGAAATCACAAAGAATCTTCTGTGGTAATGCCACGCAGTAAATAAAGGTGAATCTCAGAAAAGTTGCTCGAAATTTCGCGCTGACATTTTCAGCTCAATATTGAGCCTTTCTCTTTGTCGTATGCTTTCAGTCGCTGGAACATTAGTTGAACAGATTTTCAAGAAGTTTGAGCTTTTTACGAACAAATGTTCTTTTGTCCAAAGACCTAGAGTAATGAATTAGGTGACTAATTTTAGATGAATCAGCATTAGTATCGCTTTTTTTAGGAATAATGACCATAATCGGCTTTAAATTTGGAAATTTCATAAAAAATTGTGTCTGACCTTTCTAACCAAGCTTTGTGATTACGAACTGATGAGCATGAGTTTCACTATAGGTATATTAACAAAAATAGCTAGAATATATTATATAAAGTATATGAGCAGTGAATTATATAAGGATAAAGGATAAAGCATTTGCCGTTGATCAATCCCTTTTTGGGATGCGGCACGCATTCTACTTCCATTTGTACATTCGCAGTGGCGTTTGAATGCGATGTGGCCTATACAATGACTTGCGGGGGCCAGCCGATGTACAAGTCAGTGTTTTTATCCTCCCAGACAAGTCTGGGTACCAATTAACCCCGGAGGGATGGAAGGCTTGGTTGGCCCGGGCGACTCACGACCCAGGATTTGATCCCGGACCGCTCGCGTGGTAAGCGCGCCACTTGTCACTACACCACTTCCGCCCATGATTTATATTAAATGGAAATTAAATAGAAAATTTTGTATGTCAATATATTTACTTCGTCGCATTTGGAAGTCAATCAGTCTGAAATAGAATTAAGCACTCAGGTTAACAATGCTTATTTGGGATGCGCCATGCACTGTTCGGCCTCCCATTCATGAACCTAGTGTTATTTGAAATCGCCTTCGTTCTGCACATCAACCTTATGGGAGTGAATTAAGTGCACAGCGCTAAGTTCCCACCTCACTGGATGAGCCTTTGCGTACGACTACCTGGCCATCCCTATGGCGGTAGTAGGGTTAACCGCTCTAGAAAGGAAGCATTACGCGAATTGATGCCTGGTCTGTGCCTGTGTATTCAGGCGAGCCTTTTGCCTGTAAGCCTTTCTCCGTAAAAATTCCACCGTAAGTCATAAAGTTTGCACCATTCCGATCGGCATGATAGCCTGAATCGAATGGGTTTTCTAAAAGTTGAGCAGACCAATCCTGCTGTGTGGCTGACCTAAGAAATTAAAGTAACGGCTTGTAAACTCACGAATAAGCATGATGACAAAGGAAAGGATGATAAAAAATAAGTTTGGCTCTCGTTTTGCAAAGGTGGCGCTATCGCAATGCAAGGGGGCATCCTCTAGGACCAGGCGTAGGAGGGGGCAGGAGCTTCAGTAAGAAATGAGAAGGCTCCACGCACCTTAGAATCTTCTTACCCACAGCTTAGACCGTTTTTAACAAAAAACACATGTTTTACGGCGGTTTCAAATCACTGACTTCACAATGTCCCCGTATAGTGTAATAGGGCCGGACAGGTGCTCAGACGCGAAGTCAAGCGCCTAGAAAATATCCTAAATGATCTGATAGCTATTAATTTTTGCAGATCCCAAAGTTGAGGATAAAAGTGATCATCGAAGCAAATTATTCAAATGAAGGTGGGCTCATAAGCTTAGCAAGGTTGCCTGGGTAACCCGGGCTAAGCCCCCAATTCAAGCCTGTGAGATCAATTTGTGCTGATCACTGAAACAGGAGAGCAGCCATTCATGAAGGCAAGTTGCAGCTTCCAATCACCCGACTGTTCTCAGAAAAGACGGGTTCATGGCGCATCTCAATGATTCTATTCTTATTAAATTGATTAACTGTTCCTCAAAGCAGTTTTGGCTGCTGTGCTAATAGCCCTTTGAGGTGATTCAATTGACATTCAAGGGATTATTCAATCGACGAAAACACAAAGGAGATATAAGAGAAGGGCAGAAGTATAAAGAGCGTAGCTCCTTAGGGAAAGATATGACAAGGACTATGAGAGCGCTTAGCCTGATCCGATTGACGAACTCGGGATGAGGTCGGTCGGTGACGTCCCAGAAGCCGGATTATCCCCAGATTCACACCAGTAGTCCCCAACCTTTTCAATCACTCTCGTCACTCGTGCACTGAGAAATCTACCGCGCTACGCGCTCTACAGTAATTTAAGTTATTCCTATTATAATCCAGAATTTAGCCAGTATTCTATCTATTAAACTTTGAAATGGCAGGGGTTAATCTTGGCAAACATCTTCCTACTTTTTTGAACACTCGCCAAGGCCCAGGATTGGCCGGCTACCGTACCATGATGACGCCTGGGCGTGTCTCCAGCTGGCCACGCCCCCTAATAATGGCGCCCGGGCGTCATCAGTTTTTTGGCAATTTACTACTATACCGATGCATTTTATCGACCATAATCCTTCTCATGAGCGCTGACTTTCCAACAAATCTTTCAAAAACGATTCTCGTAATTATCAACGTTTTTTGGTAACTTCTATCATGAACTTTACTGCATGAATTCATCCTTTCTAGTAGCATTGTTTCCAGAGACACTCCAATGATTTATTTTACTGATTGCTGGGAGTTCCATGAGCTCCCCCCCCCCCCGGAGAGAATATTTGTTACTGTTACGCTATTGATTACCCGGGAAGGATTGATATTTTCAAGTGGGTCGGGGATTCCTTTAACTAATGATAAAAGCCCTCAGGTCTCCATGAGCATTCGAGATGAGATTTGTATTGCTGCTGAAAGCGCTTTAGAACGCTGATCTCAAATCTGCCTCACGAACCTGCTAAACGATTTTTCGAGCGGAGTTATGAAGCGAAAGAGCGCAGCGGTAGTGGTCTGGACTCTCATGTGGAGGTCGTGGGATCGGGTCCTACAGGATGTACTTCCTTCTAAATGTGTATAAACAATGTGAGACTTCAAAATTTTTATTGCAAAAGACTCAAAACTTTCTACAAAAGAAATTGCAAAAATGTGTGTTTGCAAAAGTTTTGCAAAAGTTTAGGCCTTTTTGGCGAGCTTTCGGCGCTTAGCGCCTTTGTCGAGCCTGAAATGAAAATTAGAAGCTTTCTTAAAGTCTGTTAATATATTAAAATATATTAACTGACCCACCTGCTGTCCACTCTCAAAAGTGTAACACTTACCACCCTTGCTGGAAAGTGTAAAACTTTTTTACTTGTTTCGCTTCCTTCGTAAAAATTTCCAAAAGGGTTCAACGCTCGTTTTTATCAGGGCTTGTCTATAACTGCTGGTATAATGAGTTTACGATGAAACCTGGGCACTATTTGCTCTTGCTGCTCATAGTCTTGCGCAGAACTGAAGCCTAGAGTTCATCAAAAATTCTCTTTACGCGTAGCTGTAGGCAGCCGACGTTGATTAAAGTATTTTGGGAACACTGTGCACAAACGCAAAGGAGTAGACCCGCAAAGGGACCGATCTGTGAGCCCTTGCTCATGCCCGCACCAATACCACTGCGCTTTGCGGCTTTATTACTCTAGCCAGAGAGTCTAGCCAGAGAGTCGTTAGCAGATTTGGAGGCCAGATCCAGAATCAGCAAAAATCCGTCCTCCAGAACCGCCTTAGAATACACCACGCCCATCTTGAATGGTCGCTATACACCTTGAAGCTTCCACTTGTAAGTTCCTTAATTTTGTCGGGAAATTCCTCATGTGTTTGACAGTAGTGACCCGGCAGTCCAGGGCCCAGATTCATTAACGGCCTATAAATGAAATTTATCTACATATGTCTTAGATATCCCCTACCATCTCATTAAACAGATATCCTCTATTCTATTATTTATTTATTTTCCATGTATTTCACTTTATATATTCTGTTTAGCCATTTTCAACCACAACTCAGGTCACTATTCAAGTATCAAACCTTTATAACTTATTTAACTTGAAGAATTAATTTCAACTAAATTCTTTATCCTGCCCTTAGTGAGGGCGATACCTGCAGCAGGGGACGACACTTATCTTTTTCGTCTCCGTTTAAGGGCGCGTGCGAAATGGAGACTGACTCTTCTTGCTCAACAACAACCACCTTTCAATAAGATTTCAACAAACTTTGAGACTTATATTATAATTCGAAAACAACATCATAGATCAAAGATAATCAGATTAAAAACGGATCCATTTGGAATTCAATCCTGTTTCTATAGTTGAACTACAAAAAAATTACCGACTATAAATCACCACAATAGTAGATCAAATAATATACACCAACATAATAAAAATGGTAAATCTGGAGTGGTGTCGTCGTCTATGAGGGTGAGTCCAACAGACATCTGTTTGCAGGAGCGAATAGCATAACCGTCAGCTTCAACATATCCATACCGGCTTAACTAACATAGGTCTGCCAGTCCGGTGCTGAACCGGTCCTGGCCCCCGCTGGTCACTGGACGCCAACAAATTGTGCCCAGCTGTTTCCTCCTCTTTTATTCACTTCCCTTTCCCTCGGTTCCGTATCGCTTTCGTCACATAATCATCCCCGGAGCACATTTCACTAAAAGCATTGACATTTCCATCCCACATGCCTGAAAGCGGATTACGGTGTGATTATTCGCCGTTATCCCGTCGTTGAGCCGCATCCCTCCCCCAAGGACACACCAAACAATCCCCCGTGATCATAGTCGTAACGTCCGAGAATCACCGCAATGAAAAACTCGTCGAGTCGTCCAACCTCTGCTAGTAAGCTAACATTGACATTTTTGCCAGTTAATCAGCGTTTTCTCGTATTCGCAACGGGTTTCGTAATCCTTGCCATGTGGGGCTTCACCAGCCTTGCGATCAACATGCCACTGATTTGACTAAGAAGCCAGCATTTCAGCCGAGATGATACCGACATCGTCATTCCCGCACTACACTTCAATTCCACCGTTTATGTCACAAACGGGTCTACCCTACACGTCATTCGTTTTCCCGAACTCTCTGGCCAACTCCAGAGCCACGACATCGGCCAACGCCAACAACAACAGGTAAGGAGACGTTTCACTTTTCTTTTGAGAAGCTGTTAAGCTGGCATTTCTCACCAGGGTAACCATAACCCTTGGATTTAACCCAGTGCTAACCTAATTCGGTACATCGGGCCTAAAGAATAAGGCATTTTGAGAAAGACTGACTCTTCGTCCTTGCTTTCATCATAATAAGATGTAACATAACTGAGAGGGAGCGCATTTCACCAATCCTCAGAATGCGCCATGCATTTCTGCTTCAGAAGTGTTGAAGGAGAGATCGAATGATCCACAGCCTTTACATTAGAAACTGTGGGTTGTTCTAACCTCACTAGCTGATGCCCCTAGCTTGTGAATTCAATTAGTAAAGTCATTCTAATCAGGCCCTTCACGGCTCTCGCAGTTTTCCACTGGGCTGTTGGTTCCAAACCAAGGAGAGCAGGTGTCGAAAATTTTTATCCTATCCCTTCTTCCTCCAATGGGGTCCCGCAACAGATAAGTACAGCCAAAGTGGTCTCAGGACATCTGTCAACCGTGAGCCTTGGCGGTTCAGCGTTTTGTAGTGATGTCTGGGAGCTCTCACAAGTGCACACTATCACAGCATCTCCTTTTCTTTATCTTCTTCAAAAGGCTTAGTCCCAATAAGACACAAAGTGTGTGCTTTTCCAGCTACGCTCTCACCCTTTGGTTGACAGAAGCCTTGTAACCGCAAAGCAATACGAATTCCCAAATTTCACCAGAGTTTCGTGGACCTGATAAGTTTTTATCTTACATAACTCCTGACAAATTCTGCCTCTCCTGTGCGTCAAGGAATTCTCAGCAGCTTAGCCATTCTAGCTCTACACTTACTTGAGAAGACATAGCGTCGAAATGACATCACCTGCCCTCTAAAGCATAAGATGGAGACTATACATTCCTTGGAATGGATGTAAATGCGTGGGCACTTTTGATTGATTAGCCCTGAGTTCTTTATCCTCCTGTCCTTTCTAAGGTTTCACCTGTGTTGTGAGAAAGTTCGTCTTTCCAGCAATCTTGAGGCTTTCGCTGAATGCCATTCAATCCGATCTATACCATTCTTTGCACTTTTGTAGCATTACTCAAAATCTCTAATCCTCTCAATCAGCTTAACAAAAAAAAAAACAAGGCAGATTCTTAGAGCAGAAAAAAATGCCTGCAGATGGGGTGAACTCCTAATGATAAATGGAAAGATGAACGGGATTGAGTTCATATTAAGCAATTCTGGACATAAACACTTGACCCATGCCAATTGGGACTTATTAGGCGAGATGAGTTGATGCATAGGTCGATTAGGGTAAAATTTGGTACACTTATATTTGAAGGCCTTCTAAGTGGAAGCTACTGGAAACTACGAAAAATTGGTGTAGTTCGCCTCACGAGAACACAATAGGGATACCCACCAATTTTAGCAGGATTTAGAGAAATACAACTTTACAAAATATAATAAATCGAAAAATTTTGGACTGCTGTTATGAACAGCCTAAGATCAATATTTTTTTGATCAGGAAGCGCTATTACGAGAAAGTAGGTGAGCCTCAGTTGATTCCTGTCTACAGTAGCCTAGACATTAGAGTGTATGGGGTGATGATTCCCATTACCACCCATGAAAATAAAATTAGGATCTTGAGCTAAAAGTCAGCTATCTATACGCTTCAGCGCAAACTTTTCCTATTTAATACCGATGTTCTTTAGTAATTTCAACAATGAAATTGTTAGAATAATGGACAAGTTTAATTAGGAAGGGGATGTTGGTGTGGTAGCAAATAGCGTCAATTTTTGCCCGCACCGTCCGGCGGTTGAATCTTGGATGCGACCAGGCCGTCCAAGCCTTCCATTCCATCAGGGCCTATCAGTTTTACTGCGCTTGTCTGAATAACAAAATCAGCCACATTCACGTCGCCTGACCCTCGCTGCAGTCACTGTATAAGCCATGTGGCATTCAGATGCCGTCAGGGTCCCGAATGGAAGTGGAATTCGTGGCGCATCCCAAAAAAGGATTGATCAAGGCCATTATCAAAGAAGAGGATTTATCCTTTTGATACAATGGAGGTTTGCGTGCGCCCATACGTTCTAACTATCCTGTACACATATCCTTTGTATGTGCCAGCCAGGAGCATCTGTAAATGCAGGCTGGGCCACACAAGTGACGTAGGCTTTAAGAGATCTGATAATTAATATTTATAGTGATAGCTGATAGCTGGTAGAATGATAGATTGTAATTAGTGCTAAACATTAGAATACAACTGCAACGGCTAATCATTTCATTCGCAGAAAACTATCACATTTTATTGAGGTTGTCGTCACTTGCGTTGTTTGGTCTGCATTACAGATGCACCCAGCTATGAGATGCGGGTGTCTGCGTTCCGTTGAATTATGGATTCTTAGCCATACTGATATACGAACTTGTTTTTTTCAGGTCTTTAAAGTATAATAAATCGAATATAGCGGGGAGCGCAGGTTTATACGGGATTTTGAAGAGCGAGTGGGACCTCTACAGCAGTGGAAGTGAAGATGGGTCATAGAAAAGGAACGATGAGGTTTCTAGGTGGCCACCCGACAACAAAACTCCTTGGCGACCATCGTTTCCCACCGCTGGTTCACTTGCAGGAAGCCATTCGTAGCGCCACAGAATGCCACTGAATGGGTACCGTACCCGCGGCGTCCTATAGCGACCTCTAAGCACTTAGGTTCGTTAATCCTTTTGTGCAGGTGACAGCAGCGGCACCTTTTACCACAATGCTAGTCGCATTATGGGTTGGAAACACTTGGACGGATTAAAAAGCCAGCACATACGTAGAGCTCACCGCCCACAGAGCTCTATGAGATCAGCTAATTCAAATTTTTCTCGCCTACGAGCAGCGCTCCCACAAATGGGCCGGGTTCGACCTCTAAGGTGATTCTAGAAATTCTTTGGCTGTACCTAAAATGCGATACGGAAAAAAAGCGTAGCTCAGAGTGGGGCGGAGTCAAAATTCTCTCCCAGTAGGCGTGTTCAAACAAACAAGGCCCACGCCTAACGATACACGAAGTGCCGCGCAAGCGTTGTACGGCTGCAATCACAGTCTCTGATATTCCCCAATGCTGCGATTGACGACTCTGCTAAGCAACGGTGAAATGATCATTCAAGTAAGTAAACGGCGCCTTGCCAGCGCTAGAATGCCTAAAAAAAATCCAGTAAAATGAGCGTTTTCAGCGAGAATGGGCGTCGAAGTGGTCGACGTGAGCGGACGTCATTCAGTCGACTTCAGTTGGAACACTTGGAGAGAGTGTTCCGTGAGACGCACTACCCAGATCTATACAAACGAGAGGAAATCGCCAGAGCAATCAATCTCCAAGAAGTTCGAGTTCAGGTTAGGCTCTTTTTCTCACAATTCTTGTACTTTCATCAACCAGCCAATTCTTTTATGCCTTCCATTCCTCGCCTTTCGTTAGTTCCTCTGCAATTATGAATGCTATACCTTCAAATAACGCAGAAAGTCAGAAAGAGAAAAAGGTCACGTTCGTATCAATTGAACCTTGGATATCAAAGGTACACGACCATTCGAATCCGATGCCAAAGCCTCCTATAAGATGATAACCGTGTAGATTAACGAAACCGTAGTCGATCGTGATCCCGAAAAGACTAGAAATTCCGCTAGCAAGCTAATAATTCCTCGCAGACCCCGCCCACCTGAAAGCCCGACGCCGCCCTTGTCATCGATGCGAGCAATATGCCTGCATTCCTGATTACACACAATACTGGCGTAAAAAACATAAGTCTGGAGGTGTCATACATCCCGACGTACCTAGATAACTTCACGAGCAATTCTCATAAACCCCCGGGAATCCTCACATCCTCGGAAGGTTACAAAAGAAATACTCATCGCGATACCAGTGCGCTATTTCGCATAATATGTATCACGGAACGTCGAAACCATCAATACCAACAAAGGGAAAAATCCATGGCAGGTGCATACCCCCAAGGTACGATTAACTATATAGTGAGGAACTAAATCTCTATATCAGACTCATAACGATAGATCGGGATACTGGTGGCAATAAATAAACCACTATGGCACATACGACCAGCCTGATAACCATTCCAAATTAGTCGAGAGGGTCGACGTCGTCGGGTGAGAAATTACTATCATAAATATCAACAGCCATAGATTGGCTTCCAAACCATCACGCAGCAATAAAAAATTTAAACTATAAACGGGCCTGGCGGAAAGTGTGCGGGCAAGCCCTGCAACCTACCACGTCGCGGACCGCTGGGATCGATCCTGCGTATTCCCGCCCGGCCAACCAAGCCTCCATCCCCGAGTCGTAGTGATACCAAAGAGTCAATGAAAGTCGGCTCGCACACGTCTGTTTCTATGTGTTCTACACCTCTGTCCTGTTCAATGCTTACCTCACTGGAATCGTCTCCCATTTCCAGTATTCTGCAATTAACCGTCTCTGCACTCCATTGAATGATTGAGTTCTATGAAGATTTGTTCAACGACCAAACGTCGCAGAAAGACCGCAAACATGACAAGACACACCAACCAGAACAAGAAAGCCCCTCCAGGTTACTATTCACTAATAATAAACCAAATCACTTTATGATCTACTGAAACGTCATCCTGAAAGACCTCAATAACATGGAGCTCCTAACGTTAGCCAGAATCGGAGCCCACCTCGCCATCATAAGCGCTACGCCAGGTTTTTTACAGGAAAAACCTTACACCATCCCCCACCCACTGCAGGCTGCAGCAGCGTGCAAGACTGTCTTACATTGAAATACCACTAAATGCTAAACTACTGGTAATATGTTGGCGTAAATTGGTTATAAGTCAATCTTATTATGGTATAATTACGGTGGCAACACATACGGGGGAGCCTAGTTGAGGCTACGTGAATATCGGTCGAGGATCCTCAACGGCACGTCGAGGATTTTCGCCTGATCAGTTACGTTCTCCCGCGCGGACATTCACACTCGCCATGCGCGAGCCGTCTGTGCTCTCCGCGCGTACGTTCACTCTCGGCACTACTCTCGCACAGTACAGAGACATGCTCGAGGAATCCTCGACCCTTATTCACCCTGGTTGAGGTTCGCTTCGTCAGGCGCTATCGTTCGCATGTGGGATTCAATTTCAAAACTTCATCGGCTCATTAAGATCGTCATCGACCGAAACGCCCCCACCAGAGCCCACAATGGCCGAATTCAAGCCGATTCCTATTCCTGGAACGATTGACTTCAAAACAGAGACAGAGGCGAAGTATCCAGTCAAGGACGAGCAGAAATACTTAGAAAATGGTTACCAAACAGGCTGTCCACCATCGGCTACAGCAGGTTAGTCCCAGATTTTTTTCGTCATGGCTTTTGATCAATAAATCGATTACAGCATGGTATCAACTACCGACGGCCAATTACTCCATCTACAACAATTTCTACGCTACTCCAGCCAACTATTACCATCAATATGGCTACTCGTCTGATTACATTCCCCAGAATCCGCCATACTGTGGACAGCTTTAAGACCGGTAAAAGCTACCTTCATCAAGCATTGAATCCATAGGAGGTGCATATATGTGTGGGCGTGGCTGAGGAGAAAAGCTGACTGTGTGCTCCGCCCATTGCACGAGTTATCGACCATCTTGGGACGAAATGTGTCCATCTTTGTGGACTTATGTACACTTAGCAACTACCTACCTCCAGAGTCGGTGCTGCCAAATAATCAATAATCGATTGACCTTCTAAGCTTCGATCATTTTACTGCACAAGTATCAATTTAGGAGCAGGCTCTTATTATAGTCCCCGTCTCTGCATTCGAAAATGAATTGGCGTAGATACTTAACCGGACCCGTTTGGGCCTATTCGTGAGTAGGAAACTTTCCTCTATCCCTCTGATCACCAGCTCAGTTTTTTTTTGTAATTATTCACGGGTAATTCGATGAATGTTCTCTGTTTTCTTTTTTGTTCACGGGTATTACAGTATTATATCAATGTTAGTTTGAAGGATTTTTTTCTATGTAGATCTGGAAACTGTATGTATAATTTGTATGTGAATTTTTACGTATTTATGTAGTATTGATCTCTAAGACCTCAACGTGTCGCTCCGTGTTGTAAACCTCGTTCTGTTGTCAAATTTGTCCTTCTTTCAAATAAAGCTGTCGAATTATCCACTTTGTGCGTACTCCGCCCACTGGACGAGTTTCCAACCTCGGTGGACGAGTTTTCGACCACCATTTCAGCGGTCGTGCATATTTGCATATTTACAGGGAAATATGGATACTCGTGTTTATTTGGGTATTATACCGTGGATTAAATGCGGTAGCTCAGAGGCAAAATCCCGACATCAAAGGGAAAACGGTAAATCTGTTCCTTTTTTCTACATATGAGGGTTTCCTGAGTGTAAAAATAATAAAAAAAAAATTTCAAAAGCACACGTTTTCTGCGTTCTTCGCGAAGAACCCACATTGTCGACGGTAAATTTCTCCTCATAGGCTCATACCCTCCATTTCGGAAGACGAGAAGAGCGTCGAGTACAGACCACACACCACAAGTGACGGGACGGCAAATTAAAACGCTTTTTTTCTGGGCCACCTTTGGCGTGTGGTCTCGCTCGACGCTCTTCTCGCCTTACGTAAATAGGTTATGTACCTCATTAGCTCGTTCATAGCCGATCTCGCACAACTACTTGCCTTTCTAGTGACACACCCAGGTAGCAACGGACCTATTTCCCTACACCTCTGGCCCATGAACTTCCCTCTATTCTACCTGAAACCCGAATTCAAGGGCATGCCTAATTCATCATTGTCATTGATTTGGTTTTCCTCACAGCAGGGTCCCAGACATGGAAAAGGACCTCCACGCCGGATGGAAGAAGGAAAGGAACTGGTTAGGTTAGTCGCTTCCGTCTTCACCTCAATTTGTCGCCCGGAGAATATTCGCTTGATTTCCCGCCGTGAAAGCAGCACTGTAGTTTCAATTCCACCGTCGCGCTCCATCGCTGCCACAGTATGAGGATGATAGTGGACAAGAGGGATCTTATTTCAAGAAAGACCAGATTGAGACGCGGTCCATAATTGGTCTTGGGTTCGAATATGCTGGTAGGGGTCCGTTACAGCCTGAGCTTTTCTCTCAACGACATGCGTTGTTGGATTTTGAAGGCACCATTGTCCTACGGGGAGAAAGTGGTCTTGTTTGGTAAGACCAAAAAAAGAAAAAAATTCGTACCAACTGCCCACAGCCACGCGACACAACGCAGCCCTCAAATACCACTTTTTAGCACACGACTCTCCAACTTATAAAAGAAACGGGACCAATCTCCCCATACGCGCTTATATACAGTTCCCTGAAACGGCAATCATGCTTAGTTTTCGCTTCCGCGATAACGGAGACTGAGGTGGTTGGTAACAGTGTCGCGCAACGGAATCACATCCAAGGTCAAACCTCCGTTCGCACATCCGAAAGAGGGTGCACATTTGTGATTTCTGGGAAGGGGTGGGGAAAGGGTGGGCTCGTAGCGTTCGCATTTAGGGCTTTAGCAGAGGTTATCATGGGGACTGAAAGTTGATGGTAGTTGGAAAGGAATGTGTTGAGGCCGGGTTTTTTTACGAGTTTGGTGGAAGTTTTCATCGAAAAAAGTTAGTTGGAAAATAGGCCAAACACGGGTTTGTCGCTTCATGATGACAGCCATAATCTATTAATAACTAATGAACTCATCCCTCCCCTCCCCCAGCTTGAGGGTCAATCTTTGGAGGTGGGCGGTAGGTCTGGGTCTGTCGACTGGCTTTGTGCAGAATGTGAAGATGTGGTCGGAAAGGGCAAAAGGGATCCGTATTGTGGTGAGCCTTTTCACACTGCACGGTGGTGGGTGAATCGCACAGTAGCCTCCTAGGTGTGGTGGTTGCCTAATTTTTGAAAAAGTATTGAACCGACGTCGTACCCTCATCAGAAACATAGACTCATGCCTGTCCAGGCCAGCGATGCCTCCACAACCCTACCCGCAGTCGGTTAGCTTTGCTCACGATTCGTCTGAAAGATTTCCGTCGGCAAACAACCTCGCTACTGGGTGTGCGTCATATGGCGCGATCCAATTGGATTGGAGCGCACAGGCCGCCATTAACTACCGCTGCTGTTGCCGGACAACTCGTCCGCGCGAACACGTTCTAGTCCGTTCCTCTTGCCTTAGCATCAGGGCAAGCAAAGTTATGCCCACCTACTTGTTATATCTTATATTTGTGACTCAACCGAGGTTTTGGAGACCCAAATTATCAGATCGATCAGTTACTGAAGTCTAATAGTTGAGTGATGCGGACGAGTTGTCCTGCCACATCAGGATGGGACAATTGCGACATTTGTGCGCTCTAATGATAATGTGATCGCTCCATATGACCGCCTCTCCGTTGCTACTCAACCACCTCCACGCCTCCATTATCACAAAAATTGCTGTGAAGATGATCTTGCTGTTTTAGAAACTCAATAAACCTATGTGGGGCGTGTTGCGAGCCTTTTATAAAGTTGGCGTTCATGATATCTGACTATCCCTCTGGATATCGCTGGATTGGGCTTAGATTCTCTGGCTAAGGTTCGGAAAACATTGGCTTTATATCGGCTAGCTGATATCAAGTAGTAGAACAGTGTTGGTATGCGACTACCAGTGGAATGGAATCGTGTCACTAAAAATCACATAAGTACGCCACAGCCGTCCCCCCCCGCAGCATCGAGACCTTGTTGTGACCGCCTCCTAACTTTGATATGGTGTCGAATAGCGATTTTACTCGATGTTACGGCAAAAAGCTTGAGTTTGCGAAGCGCGGTTATCCGTGGGCAGATTTTCCCGAAACCCCGCTCGAAACCGTCGAAATCTACACTCTCGATGAAAAGGTTCCATTCCCCCATTTCATAACCTTTGGAGCAGTATGTGGTAGGGTTAGAATAGAGCTGGATTTGCTACTACCGGGCAATATTGAAATTGATCTAAAAGCTTTATACTCAAAAAAGTGGGTCTCTAATAATTTTTGACAGTGTCGGGACGCTGATTTTTCATTGCGAAGTTTCTGGCCACTTAAAACGCAATCATCTCACCTAATTTCGTAACCAACCTTGAAAAGGAAACAGTTTTAAAAACGAAGGTTGGCGCTTTCTAATAGTCTGTTTAGCTCTCCTACTCTCTAGATTGAGGGCAACTATCGGGTCGAGTCCATCGCAGGCGCTCTTCGGCCACTTGAAAAGCCGCTCCCTTCTTCACCATTGCAAGTTTAAATTCGTTGGCAACTCTCGAAATGTGTCTAGAATAATTCTCCCAACGTAAGCGACAAGAAAAGGGGCAATCGTCATCGTCCGATCTCGTCTCAGTATAGGCCATGCATCCGACCTCCACTCAAGTTGTAAATCTATTGAAAGGTGTTATACATATGATGATGACCTGCTTACAGAGAAGTTATATCCTACTTACTATAAAGCGCTTCGTCTGTCGTGTGTGTGTCGTGTGTCGTTCTGTATGTCTGTCACGAAATTCCCTAGCTCCTCGGGATCCACCTGGAGGGACCGGGTCAAGTGTGGGATGGGTGGGCAGGGTCTCACGTAATACAAAACACACATCAGCTAAGCGGAGCCCCGCCCACAGAGGGCGTGGCGTGCGTCGAAATGAATTGTACCAAAGACCAAGATTTCGATTTCAGTGAAAAAACGACCTCGAAACTGGGCCAAAAAGTGGGCTAAGGTGTGCATTGGTAAGTAACATCGAATTAGGGAGACCCACCCCCGGTGGGCGGGGCGTTCTCTAAAAAAGCAGTGCTTTATGAAAAATTTCATAACTCGGTTGGGAGAAAGCCTACAGAGCAGAAAACAATTCGGTGTAAGGGAGCAATGTCTAAGGTGTTTCCCGCATACATGACGTGGGCGGAGGCCTGCCCAGAATGGGCGGGGCGCGCTCTGAAGTGTACAGCATTTTCTACAAGCCCTCATAATTCGGGTCGGGGAAGTCCTAAAGAGCCGGAAAAAGGTGGATAGAGGTGTATGGAGGAGTGGAGGCCAGCTATCAATGGTGGGCGGGGCTTGACCAAAGTGGGCGGAGTTTGCGACGAAAATTTATAACTCGGCTCCATGAAGCTCCGGAGGCTGGGGAAAAGGTGGATAGAGGTGGGTGGAGGAGTGGAGGTTAATTGTCATTGGTGGGCGGGGCCTGACCAAAGTGGGCGGAGTTTGCGACGAAAATTTATAACTCGGCTCCATGAAGCTCCGGAGGCTGGGGAAAAGGTGGATGGAGGTGGGTGGGGGAAGTGGAGGCCAGCTGTCATCGGTGGGCGGAGCTTGACCAAAGTGGGTGGAGTTTGCGACGAAAATTCAGAACTCTGTTCCAGAAGGTCCCGGAGAGTGGGGAAAAAAGAAGATATAGTTGGGTGGGAAAGTGGAGGTCAAAGGCCAGTGGTAGGCGGGGCTTGGCCAAAGTGGGCGGAGTTTGCGACGAAAATTCATGACTTGGCTCCAAGAAGTCCCTGAGGCCGCGGAAAAGGTGGATGGAGGTGGGT